TTCTCATGAGAGCCTAATGGTGACGGTAACTTGACAGGAGTATGTTAGAGGGAGAGATCACATCACTGTGATCACATCATGTCCTTCTCTGATAGGAAGCCAGAGAACAATTTAGAGGTTAGTTTCACTTTTATAACACCTCACTCTTGTAAAAAGCTGAGGGGTCCCATGAGAGTTACCTTAATCCTTCCCAAGAACATCTCTCCAAATAACCTAAAGTTCTTCCACTAGGCTCCACCTCTTAAAGGTTCCCTCACCTCAGTCATCACAGAGACTGAGATTCCAACTCAAGGGGCACACTTAGACCATATCCAAAATATAGCAGAATGTAGTAATATATTTCATTTTAGTCACTTCTCTTTTTTTATGTATTTAGTACAGGGTGTACAGGGTCTCACTACACAGATGGAACTCATAGTGATCTTCCTGTTTTCAGCCTCCTAAGTGCTGGGATTACAGGCTCATGCTGCCACTCCCAGTCTCAGTTGCTGTCTTAGTGAGCCCCAGGGGCAAAGTTAGCATGCACACTGGGGATAGAACCCCATTGCTGAGCCTGCCTAATCAGGCGCTTTAATCTGATGAGCTATCTGGCCTCCCTTATAGTCACTTCTTGATGATAAGAACGGTGAATTTTAATTAGACAGAGGGTCTCTCTCCCTTCCTCCCTTCGTCTTCCCTTCTTCCCTCTCCCTCTCCTCCTCCCTCCCTTCCTCTCTCTCTTTCTTTCACCTCTCATTTTCTTTCTTGAGCCCTCCACTAAATAGTAAGAGTAAACCAAAGGAGCAGAGATAAGAATGGATGAAGATTTCAACAACTGGAAAGAGTGAAGATCTTCAAACTAAAGAAGCAGTAAGCTACAGAAAAGGAGATAAGCTGTACAAGTGAGGTACCCTCAGAGAACCTTAGGTAGATGTGTGTTATTGAAACTCCCAGAATCTCTGAAAACTCAGAGAGATGCTAAAACAGATGAGTTGGAAGACAATTCAAAGAATACTTAGTTTTACAGATAATGTGTTATTTCCTTGGTAACACGTAACTTACATCTTTGTCTTGCAGGGATATAAAAGTATATTTTCTGGAAGGACTGAATAAGAAATGTTTTAAATTAAAGGATATCAGTATATTAGGCGAAGAGATTTGGTGGCATTGAAAGTTGAGTAAAGAAGATGTATGCAGTCATAAATGTAATGTTGACACTAGTCATTATCTTGTATCATTTTCCACCAGGCACATTTCAGCTGCTTTAGGGAAATATAGCGAGTAGGTAGATGGTTGTACTTAACCACCTGAAGTCTTTCCAGCAGAGTCTGGAAGATCAAAGCAATACAATTTTGGCAGGAAAAAACCCTCTGATATTTAGAAACATTTTATAATACTACTTGTATTAGAGTTTCCCAAAGAAAGTGAGGCAACAATATATAAGTTCTGTGTGTACATAGACACACACACACACACACACACACACACACACACAGAGTCATGGACCATACAAAGTTTCAGTCAGCTTTTCGGTAGTATATTGGGGAGGTTTAATTTGTTTAGTTTTTGTTTTTGGTGCCAAGGACCAAACCCAGGGCTTCCAGCTTCCTAGGCAAGTGTTCTACTCCTGAGCCAAATCCCCAGCTCTAATAGTGGTGGATAGAACTATAGTCTTACACAATTATATCACTTGGTAATGTTATAACCATCTTAGTTTGTGTAAGTACACTCTATGATGGTTTGCACAATGAAACTGCCCAAGAATTCCAGAATGTATCCCTGTCATTAAGCCATGCATGATTTATGTGCATATACAAATTTATTGCATAGAACTGGCAAATATGTGATTTTGGAGTCTGAGAATTTTTTTTCCTTCTTCTCTTTTTTAGGCAAGGCTTTCTCTATAGTTCAGGCTGGCCTTGACCTTATTATGTAGTCCAGACTGGCCTTGAACTTGTGATTCTCCTGCCTCAGTCTCCCAAGTGCTGAGATTACAGGTGTGTGCCACTGTGCCTGGAGGAATTTGAGAAATTTCATGATCTGTTGTCTGTAAGCTGGAGACCCAGGAACACTGGTATGTAGTTCTGAGACTGGAAGGCTGATGATTTTAAGTCCCAGTTTGATGACAGGAAAAGACCAGTGGTCAAGCTAAATTAATGGGTCTGGGGCAGAGAGAGAAAGAAAGAAGGGAGGGAGAGATGAAGGGAAGGAGGGAGGGAGGATTTTCTCTTTCTTCACCTTGTTTTCTTCAGTCCCTTAGTGGCCTAGATTATGCCATTTCATTGGAGAGGACAGTATGTATTACTCATTCCATGGATTGAAATGTTAATCATCCAAAAGCACTCTTGCAGACACATCTACAAATAGTATTTCATGTGAGTGCCTTGTATCCAGTCAAATTGACACACAAAAGTAATTACCATGCACACATCAAAGTAACCATTACATTAGTGGACTTGCCTCATACATTAAAAATTTATATATGAATACACACAGAGAGAATTTGAGGTTGAATCTATAGAGTTGATTTTAAGAAAATCTTCAATTAGCTTAGCATTAAAGGGAGAGATGTTATTTTTGCTTCATCCTTATTTTGATCCTGTTACTCCATGAAGCCCTTTCATACTGGTATGATTTAGTTTTTTATTTGATAGATGGCTGTTAGCAGACTTAGACTATATCATAGCATGTGTGTATTTTTTTAAGTTCTCAAAGACAAAATAGTCCTTCATTAGTGGTTTTCATTCTGTATTTTTTTATTGGTCTCTGGCAACTTGAATTTAGGTGTTTTTCTTACCCTCTGATTTTTTAGTAAGCATATCATTTTCACATCAGATAATAAAGTATTCATAATGTCAGCAAGTTTCTTTCTTTCTTTCTTTCTTTCTTTCTTTCTTTCTTTCTTTCTTTCTTTTTTTTTTTTTTTGGAACCAGGAATTGAACTCAGGCCCTTGTGCTTGCCAGGGAAGCGCTTATTCCACTGAGCCATTTCCCCAGCCCCTAGAAAGTTTCTTTTTTCGTTTTGTTTTGTTTTTAGTACCAGGAATCCAACTCATGACCTTGAGATTGTCAGGCAGGTGCTTATGCTGCTGAGCTATATCCCTGGCCCAAGAAGTTTCTTCCTGTGTCAGTTTATCTTTAAAATTAAGGAGATATTCATTAGACTATCTATCAGATATCTATTCTGGAATTGCTATGGTAACTTGTTAAACATTTATGTATGTATGTATGTATGTATATATGTATGTATGTATTTTGATACATGGTCTGGGCAGTATGGGCTAGCCCTGTGCTCACTTTTGTAGCCCCTGGACTGGTATCAAACTTGCAGGGATCTTCCTGTCTCAGTCTCCCAAGTACTGGAATTATAGGTGTACACCACCATGCTGGATTCTGTTAGACCTTTTATACTGATAATAAGATACTCTTAGGACCCCTACCCCTGACACACTAGAGATTGAACTCAGGGCCTTGCTGTGAGCTATATCCCAGAATATTATTGTATTTGGGATATAGAATATAAAGAATGTAGATTATATTCTGTTTTTTTTTAATTAGTTTAAGCTGCTAGTGTTGTTCAAGGCTAAATTATGTCATTAAGGAATTTTATATTATCTCTAAGGAGTTACAGAGGCAATTATGTTGGACTATTCTTACTTAATTTATATTTTCAGAAGAAATAAGCCACATTTGAGTCTTTTGCATACCACTGATAATAAAGGTTAATTCTGAACTAATAGATCTGTGCTTTTAAGTAGAAGAAAACTGGACTCCAAATACATTCAGGGGAAAAATAATTGTTTGGCAACAAAAATCTCAATAGGAAGCTTTTGAGATTCAATTTAAAAATCCCAGTACTCTGGAAGGCTGAGGAAGGAGGATTGAAGCTCATACTGTACAGTTTAACAATTTAGAGGGACACTATATCAAAATTAAAAAGAAATAATAATTTTAAAAAATGGACTGGGGACGTAGCTTACTGCAAAGGCCCTACATTTAATTTCCAGTACTGGATAAAAATGTTACATGTATGTAAAAAAAATTATAGAGGGCATTCCTTTTTTTTTTTAAATTATGTATTTGGTACAGGGTCTTACTACACAGCTCCAACTCCTAGTGATCCTCCTGCTTTCAGCCTCCCTAGCACTGTGATTACAGGTTGTGTCACCACACCCAGGATCAGTACTGGCTCAGGGCACCTGGGGGTGGCGCCGGCTCATCATGTAGTGCTGGCAGTCCAACCCAGGTCCCTGTGCTTGCCTAAGTAGGCGCTCAATCTTCTGAGCTATGTCTCTGAGAGGGCTTTTTAAAATTTTATTTTAGGGAAGGGTCTACAGGGTGTTCATTGTCTCGCTACTAGATTGGACTCCTAGTGATCCGCCTTTGTACAGCCTCCCAAGAGCTGGGATTATAGGCGTGCACCATCACTCCCAGTCTCAATTGCCATATCAGTGTGCCCCTGGGGTGGGGCTGGCACAGCAGGCCCGGGGATAGAACCCCTGGCCCACGCACTTGCTTGCAGGTTCTTTAATCTGCTGAGCTAGTTGGCCCGTGGAGAGGGCACTTTTTTTTTTTTTTTGGCAGAACCAGGGATTGAACTCAGGCCTTTGAGCTTGCCGGGCAAGCACTCATTCTACTGAGCCATCTCCCTGGCCTGGGAGGGCATTTTTTTTACAGCAGCAGTTCTTCGGATTCCTGGAAGTCTCATTTTTCACTAACATAACTACAATCACTAGGTAGAAAGTGCCTGCTCTGATATTTTCGCTGTATGTTAGCCATTGAAAATAAGTGTATAGAAATTATTAACTCTTTCTTGGCTCATTTAATTTCTGGCCTGCTTAGATAATAAAATTTATTGCTGCTACGTTCCAGTGCTGATCAAGTCTTTGAATCTGAAAGGTGCAATTGTAATTTATTATTAAACACTATTGCTTTTGTCTGCTATGATAGCTTTATATGATAAAAATTGGGGTTTGCTTATTGTTTAGCAAATGTAATGAGCAACTTGCTTTTTTCTTTAGGATCAAACGAAGCATATCAAATTAGCAGGACTAGCTGGTGGCACAGTAATCATGAATAAAAACAGAATCTGTTCCTTATCACGTGCATAAGGGGGAAAGGTAAGAAAACCAGTGTTCTTATTTTTCTTAGTGACTGAGCTTAAGAAAAACAACTAGCTTTGTAGAAAATGATAATATATAAGGAGTGATCGAAATATATATATATATATATATATAGTGAATTTTGACATTAAAAACATTAATCACAGTGAAAAACATTGTCATTAATCTCCCTCAAAATACTCCCCCTCAGTTTGACTATACTTTATTCCATCATTTACCCCTTTCTGAAGTAGTTTTAGAAATTCTCTTGTGGCAACTGTCTTAGTTACTTTTCTCATTGCTGAGACAAAATGCCCAACACACAAAATTAAGGAAGGGAAGTTTCAGTCTGTAATCAGCTGGCTCAAAGGCAGAGTGGCACAGCCCCAGGGCAGCAGTTCAAGGTGGCAGAAGATAGCAAAAGCAGCAAGAGCAAAAGGGGTGTGTATGTAGAACAAGCCCCTTTTCCTCCCTTATATTATAAGCAGGCTACCATACTCCCCAGGGTAGGTTTACCACTCACACAATCTCCATGTCCCCCTCTTGCACAGGAGGATGTTCACAAAGTAAGGACTCTGGCTTTGTGCTATAACATATTTAAACTTCTAAACTCAAGTTGACACAATGTATCAACCAAGTGCTATACAATTAGAAAAGCAGGCTTGTAAAAATACATTGTTTCCTTATCTACCTTTATCAACTAATCTGGTACTATGTTGGCTTCTCCCTAAAACTAAAATGATTCTGAAAGGTAGTAAATGTTTTGAATCAGTTTAGAACATAGAGTTGCCTATGACAATGCATCCAAGGATATTTATTCATAAAAGCAAACTTTGAGAAGTTTCACAAAGTGATAAGAATGCTGGGATAAATGTGTTTGAGTAGTTTGTGGGAGAATTAATGCAATGTCTTTTATATTATAAATTCAGTAAATAGATTCATTGTATTTTTTAATCACACTACCTCTCCTGCTTGCTTCATTTGGAGTGTGGTCTCTTTTTAAATAAAAAGTGTAATTTTTCAAAAAGATTTTACTTTAATCTAGAGAAACAGTATTTTCAAATTACTGTTAAATTATGACAAAACATTAGTGAATTAGTCAGATTTCTCATCACTGAGACATAATACCCAACGTGCACAATTTAAAGGAGGAACAGTTTAATGTAGCTCACATTTTTGGATTGCTGATCAACTGACTTGAAGGCAGAAGCATCAAAAGGGAAGGCTGTGGATGAGAACTGCTTAGTTCATAGTGGCCAGAAAACAGTACAGAGAGGAAGTGAGGGACCTGCTATACCCATTGTAATGCCTTCATCATGACCCACCCATACTTACCCAGAAGAGTGCTTTGCTAATCTGCTAGGCATTTCCCCTTTTGTTTTTTTATTAGTACGTGTTTGCAGTACATACTGTTTACAGTCTTTGTGTAGAGTCAGTAGCTGTATGTAACACTTCTCAATTAGTTTTTTTCAATCCTCCATCTCTTGTTTCCCCTTCCTTGTTGGAAGAACTATCTCCATACTTTATCTTTTTTTTTTTTCTGTATTTTTTAGGGAAGGGTCTACAGGGTGTTCAGGGTCTCACTACTAGATCAGACTCTCTTGTTTATAGCCTCCCAAGTGCTGGGATTACAGGTGTGTGCCACCATGCCCAGTCTCAATGGGCATCTCAGCGTGCCCTGCAGGTGGGGCCAGCACCACTGGGCTATTTGGCTGGCCCTCCTACTTTCCATTATCTATCTTTATTTTGTTCTTTATTTATAATTTGGGCCTCATGTAAGAGAAACCTTGCCTCAAGTTCATTGTCACTACATTATCTAGGGTTTTTAAATCATCTGTCTATTCATTTCAGATGTCCATTTTTTAATTGGGTCTTTAAACTTGGGAGGCATGGATATAGGCAAAGACTTTATGAACTCTTTTTTTTGGAGTTCTTTATATTGTTTAGATATTGGAGCCTGTATCTGAAGAGTAATTGGTAAAAATTTTTCCCACATTGTGGGTTGTCTCTTCACTCTGTTGGAGGTTTTCTAGGCTGTGCAAAAGCTTTTTAATTTGATGAGGTTCCAGTTGTTGATTCTTTGTTATGTTTCCTGTGCAGTTAGGGTTTTGTTCATGAAGTCTTCTCCTATACCCACGCCTTCAATAGATTTACCTGCTGTGTCTTCCAGCAGATTAAGTGTATGTGTTTTAGTATTTAGACCTTTTTCCATTTCAATTTTAATTTAGTGCATGATAGAGATATGGGTTTAGTTTTAATTTTTGGCATGTGGAAAGCCAGTTTTCCTAGCATCATTTATTAAAGAGGCTTTCTTTCAGTGAAAGTGTTTGGCCCCTTTGTCAAAGGTAAGGTAGCTGAGTGTGCTTGGAGTTGTTTCTGATCTTCCATTCTCTTCCACTTATCTTTGGGTCTGTGCTGAGGTAACCATGTAGTTCAACCAACAGTTTTTGCCTGTGATAATCTATCTTTCTAGAGAACTGGCACCTTAAATCTTATATGGTAGAGAACCAAGATGAAATGAACCTGGATCCTTGCATTGTACCAGTGTTCCCTGTAGGTTTGGAAGGCTTGATTTTGATTTTTAGAACTTGTAAACTTTGCTCTTATTTGAGCTTTAGAAAAATTACTGGAATATTTGATGTAATAATCTAGTCTATCTCAGATAATACACTCTCACATCAGTCTGATGTTGATCATCTTTTGGAATAAGGATTTTTTTTTTTTGTTCCTCGAATGCCTTCAGGGCACCTTTGGCCAGCAGGAGAGTTGTGAGGTTCGAACTCCAGCAACCTGAGGCTGACAGCTTTGTGGAGGCAGCCACTTAAAGGACTGAGCTAGGGCCAGGCCCCCGTGATGTTGATCATCTTTTTGGCTTCTTAACACACAGTGCATGTGTCAGTACATACTATATTATTTTATATTTTAGATCTGCTCATCCTGTGATATATTGAGTCCTTTTAGGTCAGAGACACTGTCTTCTTTGACATTGCAACCTAGTGAATAGGACAGTGCTTTGTACATAGTAGATACTCAGTATTTGATCTTTGTAATTAATATATATAGCATAAAGAGGAAGTGTCAATGAAGAGAACATAAAAGTAGCAATCAGATTAGTCCTGTAAAAGCAGAATTTCTAAGACTAAAATTCCACAAGAAAACACTAGAATGTTGAAAAACGTCAGAGTGAAAATAGATCTAAACTGGGTGTGGTGATGCATACCTGTAATCCCAACTGAGGCAGGAGGATTGCTGCAAATTTGAGGCCAGCCTGAACTGCATAGTGAGACCCTGTCTGAAAAACCAATCAAAAGAGATCTAGAAGCAAAAAGACAAAAGAGATCCTTAGAAAGAAACGATACTCAAGTAATGATATTCCTCTTTGAAATATACAGGTATGAATATTTAATAAGCTTCTATTTTGGTTAAGAGATGGATGATTTTATAAGAAGGCAAATAGAGTCCTGCTATAAGGTTTTAATCTCCCCAGAGATTTAGCTTATATAGTGTCAAAACTGCCTTGCTCCCAAGTCTTCACTAAACTGCAGGTTTTTCTTTAGTAATTGAAACCAGAGTTTCAAGACTTGGAAACCAGAAACATAACAGAGATCAGAAATGAGCACTATAGGGGCCAGGGATATAGCTCAGTGACATAAGCGCCTGCCTAAGTGCAAGGTCCTGAGTTTGATCCATGGTACTGGAAACAAACAAACAAACAAACAAACAACAACAAAAACACTATAGTGAAGGCAGGGCTAAGAAAGGAAGTCGTACACTGAAAGGTAAGACCTTCATTTTACCCTTCCTCTGCTCTTTCAAAAGGTGGCTGAAAAACATTGGATCAGTGCACTCTTTTATACATTGTGTAATATTTCTCTGGAATTGAAAGAAAATACCTATACATGCTGACATTTGGAAGTTTCCCAGTGATATAGCTGTGTTTCCATCCAGTCACTATGTAGTAGAAGCCACTCAGCTCATCACACACACAGAGCTTCTGGTTGGGCTTTAGTATTGCATGTGTTTTTAGGTAAGAATTTGGACAAAGACTCCATTGTGAAAGACATTAGAACATGCAAATACATTAAAGAAATTTCTTTCTTTCTTTTTTTTTTTTTTTGGTATGGTCACTTTTATTTTTATTTTATTTTATTT